CCCAGCCCCAGAGAGGAGGCAGAGGAGCTGGGCTGTCTCTGTAAGCACTTTTATTTGGTTATTGCACAGAAAGCAAAGAGTGGGCTGAGGTTCCTGGTGCTCCGTGGGGCTGTGAGCGTGCCTGCCTCACCCCCAGGGGGGCACAAGTGTCACCCCCCAGGGCAGGAGACCCCCTGAGGACCCTGCCAGCCCCCATCCCAAGCAGCTAGAGCTTCTGCGTTGCGTTCATCCATCCCTTGCACATACATTGAATAAATGCACTTATTGGAGGAGGGTCAGGGGGGTGTAGGGGGGTGTTCCCCGGGGTGGGGTGGGGGGGGGATCCTCTCCTCGGGTTGAATTCAAGTGTTTTAACTGTGGCTCTCAGCGTGGGGCACATTCTGGCAGGGAAGCTGCTGGCCCCGGGGCTGGAGGGGCCGTGGCTCCGGCACAGACGTGTTGCTACGGGAAAGCCCGGCCCTGGGGGGGCTGCTCCCCTGGGGCTCCCCTCATTTCTTGCCCCCCGTGGGTGCTGGGGCTTTGGCCTCCTTGCCAGAGGGGGCCTCAGCCTTGGGGGGCTCCTTACTGGCTTTGGGCTCATCTTTGGGTTTTGCTTTAGCTTTGGGCTCCTCTGCCTTCTTGGCCTCCTCTGCCTTCTTTTTGGGCTCGTCCACCTTCTTGGGCTCCTCTGCCTTCTCCTTCTTGGGCTCCTCCACCTTCTTGGCCTCCTCTGCCTTCTTTTTGGGCTCATCCACCTTCTTGGGCTCCTCTGCCTTCTCCTTCATCTTCTCAGCCTCCTGTTGAGGTTTTCGTGGAACTTCCTTCTCCACTTTTCCTCCTTCTGCAGGTTTGGGGCCTGGCTTGGTGGTCTCCTTCACCTCTGGCGCAGTGTCTGTCTTCTCTTTGGGCTTCTCCTCCACCTTGGCTGGGATATCCTTCTTGGGAGCTTCATCTTTCCTGCCCTCCTCAGCTCCAGGCTTGGAGGGAGCCTTCACCTCCTTGGGCTTCTCTTCCTTTGCAGGGGCTTTTGGCTCCTTTGGAGGGGAGGGGGTGGGCTCCTTGGCTGGGGCTGTTTCCTTCTGTGGAGACTTGGCTTCTTCCTTTGCAGGAGACTTGACCTTCTCTGGGGACTTCACAGTTGGGGTCTTGGCCTCCTCCTTGGAGGGAGTTGGGGGTTTCTCTGGGGACTTCACAATTGGGGTCTTGGCCTCCTCCTTTGAGGGGGTTGGGGGTTTCTCTGGAGACTTGACAGCTGGGGTCTTGGCCTTTTCTTTCAAGGGGGCTGAGGGTTTCTCTGGGGACTTCACAGTTGGGGTCTTGGCCTCCTCCTTTGTGGGGGTTGGTGGCTTTTCAGGGGACTTGACAGTTGGGGTCTTGGCCTCCTCCTTTGAGGGAGGTGCAGGTTTCTCTGGGGACTTGACCACTGGGGTCTTGGCCTCCTCCTTGGAGGGGAGTGCAGGCTTTTCTGGTGATTTGACAGCTGGGCTTTTGGCCTCCTCTTTTGAGGGTGTTGCAGGTTTCTCTGGGGACTTCACCACTGGGGTCTTGGCCTCCTCCTTGGAGGGGGTTGATGGCTTTTCAGGGGACTTGATAGCTGGGATTTTGGCCTCCTCCTTTGAGGGGGACTTGGGTTTTTCTGGGGACTTGGCCTCCTCTTCACCCTCAGCTTCAGCTTTCTCTTTTTCCTCCTCCCCCTCTTCAGCTTTCTCCTCTTCCTCCTCCTCCTCACCTTTCTCCTCCTCTGCCTCCTTCTCAGCCTCATCCTCCTCAGTGACCTCCTCAGTCACCTGGATTTCCTCTGTCTGCTCCTCCACAATCACTGTCTCCTTCTCAGATTTTTCCACCACCTTGATCTTCTCCTCACTCTTCACCTTGATGTTGGTGGTGATGCTGGGAGCTTTGGGGACCACCTCAGGGAAGGAGATCATCCCAAAGCCCGTCTCGATCCGATATTCCTCCCCTTCCAAGAGCTTCCTGCCAGGAAGAGACACCAGAGCAGGACAGTTAGTGATTGCTCCTCACCTCCTCCCATGACCAGGAGCTGGCAGCCATCTCCTGCAGTTCCATCTCCCTCCTTGCCCTGCCCTTGATGTGCTGGCTGACCTTCCTGCTCCCACACCTTCAGGTCTGCAGGTTCCTCACCCATGTGTAGCTCTAAGTGGCTAAGTTACTGCCCACCATGGACATTGCCCACCATGGACATTGCCCACCATGGACATTGCCCACGATGCTCTTGGAGGATGGCTGGTCTCTTTCTCACTCAGGAGGACCCAGGTTTGAGTGAGGGTCCTGGAGAAGTGTCCCCAGAGACACCAGCAGTAGGGACTTCCCATACCTATAGGCAGCAATCTCGATGTCCAGGGCCATTTTGACATTGAGCAGATCCTGGTACTCCCGGAGCTGAGCTGCCATCTCCCACTTGGTGTTCCTCAGCTCACTGTCAAGCTGCTGGATGGTTTCCTGCAGGACACAAAGTCATTGGTGACACGGGAGGGGAGCAGTCCCTGAGAGCAGGGGAACACAGAGCACCCCTAAACAGCCCCCTGGTCTCCAGAGGAGGGGCTGCTCACCCAGGTGGCCTCACAGAGGGGTCTGCAGCCACCTCCCCCTGCAGCCACAGGGGGACAGAGACACGTCCAGGGGCTGGTTCAGTGTGTCCAGCTCTGCTGGGGGACCCAGCAGGAGCCCAGCACCCCCCAGCTGAGAGCTGCAGTGCAGCCCCCAACCCCTCCCAGAGCTCCTGCCAGCAGGGACAAGTTGTGGGAACATTTCCAGGACCTGAGTGAGTCTGGTGGCCACTGAGGCTAAGGGAGAAGGGGTAACACCCTGGGGATGGTGCTTCACACCACAGCCACCACCCTGTGCAGCTCTGGGTCCCAAGCCCTGCACCTTGGGCAGGGTTTGATGCTGGTTCTGACCACGAGCAGCTCAAAGCCAGGCAGATCTGTGGGTCTATCCTGGGTGAGGTGACACAACAGCCTGGATGCTCACTCAGGCTCTGAGCACCCTGCCAGCAGGAGCTGGGGAACGAGGCTCCTGGGTGTTTGCTGCTGCTCCTCCCCATCCCCTGCAGCCACAGCTCAGCTCAGCTGGCCCAGCCCTTCCCA